CATTTGGAACTTTATGCTCGACTTCATGGTGTACCTGAAAAAGAAGTCAAAAAAGTAAACATCACTTAAAAATATCTGCATTCAAGTCATATATGTATTTAGTAATAATGTTTTTTTTTATCATAGATCTTTGTTTTACCTTTTTTGTATTATTTTTTTTTTTATTTTAACCAGTCCTGTACATTTAACAATGTTTTCAAGTTTAACATTCAATAGTTTAATCTGTCAACGTTTTTTTTTTTTTTTTCAGATCTGGAAAATATTTGAATGATGGAATATATATTTTAATTATAAAATATATTTTTTGTGCATTTCATGAACCCTAAAAATCTATCATTAGTGTTCAGTTGCTTTATTCCCACTATTAAGTCCTGTCTTTTTATTTCTTTAACATTTCTCTTTTGGTATTTTCACTTGATAGATAAAGATTCTTGTTTATACTATTTCTTAAAATAACACCAGAACTGCATTTTTGCAGATGTTAACATGAACTATTTTGCTGAAACAATTTCATGTTACACTTGAGTGTTCAATTCTAATCTAACTCTATCATCAACATCGGTTTCTTTATTGCTGGTTTTTGTTTCATGAAGAATAGTCATTGAATTTGAGATATGAGTGATGGCACCAGACTTGCCTTTTGGCTGAGATAATTGCATCTTTTTTGCTGGTCATAATGGTCATTTTATTAAACCTGTGTCAAAAAAGATGAGCCCCGTTCACTTAAGACTGATGCAACACAATCTTTCTACTCTCATTTCCTCAATTCAGCTTTATGCCATAATCCTTCATGAATCTATAAAAAGATCACACTTGGATAATGATTAAAAAATACACTACAAAACATAAATCAAGATTTATTAAATTTATTTAATCTTGAAATTGTCAATTAATGACTTGTTACTACTTTGAATATCTCATTTTTTTCTATACTTTTAGGTGGCAAACTGGGCAGTTAATAAACTGGATCTTGCTAAATATGCAGACAAACCTTCAGAAACTTATTCTGGAGGAAATAAACGAAAATTATCAACTGCAATTTCTCTTATTGGAAATCCAGCTATCATTTTCTTGGTCAGTTCAAAATGATTTATTTTCCACTTAAATTTGTAATTAATATGTATTGGTGTAAAATTTAAATGTTAGCTATGTGGTTGGAGGCAAACCTAACTGAAAGATCAAGTGCTTGTTGATGTTTCTAGAATCTAGAGAACAAATAACTCTACTTATACAATGGAAGAGGTGTTATATAGTGCCTGTATTTATTCATGTTATTAATTTAAATGAATGTTCTATTTGAACAACATTTGAAGCATGTTTGTGGGTGTGATTTGTTATGAAATATTATTTATTTATGAAAATCTATTTCAATGAAACCTGAACTGTCTTTCAAACATGAATGAACATTGAATGAAGTAGAGAAAATAAAAAAATAAGGATCAAAAAATTTTTTTAAAGTTTCCTGAATTATAATTTAGATTTTCATTTTTTGAATTTCTTGAATTATAATTTAGGTACATTTTTTCAGCCAGGTATAAGTAGGATATGCTATTTAATTAAATTATTATTAGCTCATTATTGTCTTATTTGCATTGATTTTTTGTTATATCTTCAAGGATGAACCAACTTCTGGTATGGACCCCAAAGCACGCAGATTTCTGTGGGATTGTATAAATAATATTGTTAAAGATGGTCGATCAGTTATACTCACTTCACACAGGTAAATGTTTCTCATTAACATAGTCAATATATGTGACTCATTAGATTTTTCTATGGAATATGCTTCCTTTTTGTTTATATATTCATCACTTTAATTGGCATATTCATTAAATCAAGAGAAAATATCACATAGTTTCAGGTATGATATAATTCTTATTAAAAATATATACTTTCTGAAAAATATTTTGTAACAATGCTTGTGATACATTCAAAATATTATTCTTTTATTTTATAAAATATTTAATACAAATTTCATACTGGTAAAATAAATATTGTTGATATATATATATATATATATATATATATATATATATATAATTGAATAATAAAATATATTTGTTTGTATTCATTGGGAATGGGATATTACTTTCTGAACAAATTGATATTGACACTATATCATGTAATTTATATTTTCTTTTGTCTTCATCAACAAACAAATTTGTCCCAAAGTCCAAAACCATTAACTTACATTCAATACAACAGGCTTAGTAATATATCTACCCACCCAAAGTTTTAGTTACAATAAATCCTAGACTTAAATAGATTCCAACTTTCATAAGAACAATAAAACTGAAATCATTTGGTTTTAAAATTCCTGACTGCAACCATGAAAAATAATAGAAGCAAACCAGTCTGCAAAAAATCACCAATGTTCCTCAACCTTCCTCAAAATGTTCTCTAGATATCTAAAGCACTCTGCAAAACTAATTTAAACTTTTTTATCTTTACCACTGAATTTTCTGTTCTAGGATATCTTCCTCTTTGTTGAAAGGATTCTAGGGTACATATGTATGGACTTGGTGTTTATATTCGGTAAAATCTTCCATGACAATGACAAGGGAATCATCTTGTGAATTCCCAGATAGTTCTTCATCTGCTTTTGACTTTCATTATTACACTCTGTTAGGTATCTGTCTTTCCTTTATCACTCCCCTTCTTCACAGGACTGTAGCATGTTAGACAAAATATCTGATAGTGCAGTAATGGCTCTCTCTCTACATTCATCTGTGAGCATTTGATGATTTTAATAATCATCATGTCAAGTGGTTTCATCATTTTAATACTACTGATGTTGCTGGTATTCAGACTTTGAATTTTTCAGTTGCTCAATTTCTCAGTTAAATAGTAAATTTCTCAATTTGTTTCCCTACTAATTCTGACCAACATGCCTCTTTACTTGATATGTTCCTTACCTTCTCTCCTGACTCATACCTACCTGTTCAACCACTATAGACCACAGGAACCACTTTCCTGATTATACTAATGTGATAACTGATCACAACAAACACCTCATTATGTTAACTTTTAATAATTGCAAATGTGTCTGCAATGGGGTTAAATCATTGTTTGCTGATATCAATCTACTGTATAGCCTCTCACAAGTTTGGTTCTCATGACAACTAGCAGCTCTGTAAGTCCTCCATCCCTCCTTTTTCCAATCAATTTGAAATGCTATCATCTTATGCTGATATATTTCTTCATAGGTAGGTCATGTTCTTCATTGTCAATTCTCTTTACTTTGTTTTCTCCAAATAAATAAATGGAATACTTTTCTTATGTGTTTGCCTGTTCATACCAAATTTCTGGTGGTGGTGGTTGTTACTGGTCATTAAGTGCATGACCCAATACAAAAATAAATGTAGACCAAGAAATGAACCCAAATCCACAAAAACAAAAGTAGATTCCAGATTCACCATTTCTTATACCAATGTGTAGGTTTTACGTTTCAACTTTTTAGAGGTGGAACATCTTGATGCCAAACCTGACCTCTTATTCCTGTCTGAAACTACTATTGATCTGTCTATCCTAGTGCAGGAACTCACAATCCTGGGTTACCCACCCCAAACAGTAAAACAAGGACTAGTGCCGACACTAAGGAGAGGCTCCCAAATGGCAGAAACCCCAGAAATGTGGACCCTGATCTCCAGTATATGTGCTTCTGCATGGCATATGTCCACAGTACTTCTTTCATCTTTACTCTCTATTTTCCGTATGATTACAAAACAGTAATGTTTGAAAAAATATCTGAGATGATTGATAATATCTTCTCTTATCTCACAGCTGGTTAGTCTACTTGAGCAAAACTGATGAAGAAGGCTCATACTGCTGAAACTTTTTTGAATTGACATAGATCATTGAAGAACCTACCTTCTGACCATTCAATAGTCAGTGTTAAAGTCAATGTCAAACCAAAAGCATCCCCTAATGTGTTGTTCCATAGAATAATAATGGAAGTCAACTGAGACATGGCAGAAGCTTCTCTCTCAGTCTTCTTCAAAAATGCTGTCTCCAAAACTGCCACTCTCATCTCTGAATAGATGCTTTCTGGAATTGAGAATTTTATACCTCAGAAAAAATTCCAGCAAAAATTGAACAACCTTCCTGGTTCACCATTGAATATGCTGTAGCCATTGTTCACTGTAACCACTACTACAATATCTACCATGGGGAAGAGTATAGTAGGACACTTGCTGCATTCAGAACTTCCTACAATCATTGCAAGAGAGTTCTAGAAAATGCAAAGTACTGCTATGCACAAGCAGTCGAGACCAAGGTCAAAAGCAAATAACTTGGATCCTGGGAGTTCTGGAAAATCTCTAAGCAAATATTCTAAATAGTGGCAAAACATCAGTGCCTACTATTATAAATATGGCCGTGATGTCATCTCATCCTTATCAGATAAGACAAAGATTGTAGCAAAGAGCTTTATCTCTAACTCCACATTAAATGACAAAGGCTATCCTTTTGCCAGCTTCCCTACTTTTACAGAAAAATAATTTTTATTATAGTATGGGGATCTCAAAACTTATCAAAGGTCTTGACCCTAATAAGGTAACCAGTCCAGGTAAAATTCCAGTGGTTGCCCCTGAGTTATCTGCCATCTTAGCAAAACTATTTAACTGTTGCTTGAAGGAGAAATCCTTCCCAAATGTGTAGAAGGTTTCAAGTGTATTCCCTGTTTTCAAGAATGTGGGAGAGTGCTCATCCCTATCTAAGTATTTGACCTTCCTCAGTGTTATTAACAAACTTTTTGAAGCTATAATCGATAAGAAAGTTGTTGATCACCTCAATAGGGACAACCTCTTGAGCAACAAACAGTATAGATTTTGATTGACTTCCTCTGCTGCTGATATCCTGTCATTTACTCACAGAATCAGTGAGATGCAAAACAATAAATACATATCAAGAATGATTGCATTAAATATTTGACAAAGTGTGTCATAGAGGGTTGTTGTAAAAGCTCTCCAGCTATAGAATCATTGGAAGGTTCTTCTCAGTTATCAAATCCTTCCTAATAGGTAGGTTCCTGAAAGTAATTGTTAATGGCCAATCCTCCAAGGCCCAAATGATCAATGCAGATGTCCCCCAAAGTTTACTTCTCAGTCCAACTCTGTTTTTAATTTGCATTAATGATCTGCTTAACAATATACTCTGATCTTTTGTGGATATCTATGCAGATTATATAATGATATATGCGTGGACCTCCAAGATGACTGAGTCTGGCAGCTGATCTCTCCTCTGACCTAGCTCAGTGGCGGGGGGGGGGGGAACTGGCTCGTCACATACAGTGACTTGAGTACCAAGCTGAGAGAACACCCATTCATTGCAATAGACAAAAATTCAAGGTTCACTTGATGATGATATAATATCACATTCTATCATCATTGAGCTAACATTTCCACTGACATGAAGTGGAAAAATTATATTTCTTCATTTTCTCTTTTCTTTTTTTTTTCATTTGCACTTTTTAATCCACTGAAACACCCATATCTATTATAGAATACTTCCTGTTCTATGTTCACAGCATCCAGATTCAATCTTCTTGCTTGGATGGATTGTTTTTTTTTAGCAGAGCTTCTGATGCTAAGACTTTATTTAATTTCAAACATATCTCTCTTCTTTGCAACATTCATCACTCCTTTGTGCTTTTAACAGTTTATGATTCTTTCCTCCACCTTTGTTGTGCATAGCTAAACTGAATAAGTCTTCAATGTTGATGAGTCCTTTTCTTTTTGTCTTTAAATAATTTTTAATCTCATTTCTTGGATGTAGATACTTGTATCTAGTCATTAAATTCCTGGTTTATGTATCTACCTATTTTATCATTTGTAAGTCTTGGAAGGATCCTAGAATAACTTACTGTTGATATTTTCCATATATTCATGCCTGTTATTATAATTTTTACTGTTCAATCTTTATAGTCATCTATAAACAAAACTTTTCTTGTTTCCTGGGATATTCTTTTCTTATTTGTTCATTTCACTCTATTTTACTGAACTGTATTCAAGTACTCTAAGGTATTTTTATTTAATTTATTTGTTATTTTTTAATTCATTTCTGTCTGTCACAAATACATCATGAATACCGTAGATTTTTCTTTATTGTACTATTTCTTTATCTTCACTAAAATTCCTGTTTTAATCAGCACTTTTCTTTTGTCAATAATATTAGATCATCTGTGTACATTAGGTGCTTGATGTTTTCTATCATAATTTGTAAATTGTTAACCATTCTTTAGAAATTCTTAGGATTATATTCATTGGTATCAAAGACACAACAAAACATTGAAATTCTTTTGATATTTATTTCAGCAGACAAATTTATTCTTGAGTCCTTCATAGAATTATATATAAATTTTGCTATCACTTCTAATAATAATTATCGTAAAATTTTAGCTAAAATAAATTTATTTTATTGCTATCTTTCTTTTAAAGAAAACTTATAGGAGTTACATTTGCATTTTTGAAGTAAAATGTTTTCAGTTCATTGCTACTTTTCTTAGAATTCACTCTTTGCAAAGTTACTATATTCTTGCCTATATTTACTATTTTAATACATTCATAAGAAATTAATATTAATGTTACATAGATGAAATGTTTCAAAGAAATTGCCAAAAAGTTAAACTTCTTTAAGCAATAGATATTTTAAATAAGTTATGTGAAATGGAATGTGTATTGGAAAAAAAGGAAATGTACCTGACATTTTATTCAGGTAACAGGTGATCTCTGATTTTAAAGAATTCACAATGTTATAGATTGATATTCAATTTATATTATTGTAAAAACTTTCTTGCAAAAATTAAAAAAAAAATATATTGTATGTTATATAAAAGAAGGCATAGATTTTTATCTATTTATTGGTTCACTATGTACAATAGGGTGGGGAAAGAATAATAACTGCTAAAAGCACAAAGAATTGAAGAATATAGCAAAGAACAGAGATATAAACATTTGGGGGGGGGATACTTGGATTTGAGTAGATGTTCCATGTCAGAGAGCACATATTTTTCTCTAATAAGATTTTTTGAATATTCAGACTGGTAGATGAAAATAAATAAATATACTGTTTAATAATTAAACAGAGCATCCACTCAAATATGAATATCCACTAAAAATAACATTTTAAGTAATAAAAATGTATGTTATATGTATTTTCAGTATGGAAGAATGTGAAGCTTTATGTAGCAGAATTGCTATTATGGTTAATGGAAAATTTCAATGTCTTGGAAGTATTCAACATTTAAAAAATAGGTAAGTCTTTGTTTAAGTTCTCTCATATTTTTTTAAGAAAACATGAAAAATACAAAAATGCCATTAAAGAATACATTGTACAATATACATTTAGTATATATTTAGTATTTAAGTGGCTTAACCATTCTAATGTCACTGGTGTTGCCAGTTTTTCTGTTACTCAGTCTCCCAGTCAAATAATGGATTTCCCTAATAATTCTGATCAACATTCTTTTTTAGTTGATTTGCTCTTTACACTTCCTCCTAGCTCATCACAACTCTGTCCTCTTGGCAATTCAGATCATAATGCAGTATCTGTTGATATTTCTTTTAAATTGTCAAGTAGAGGAGAACCTCCTATTCACAACACTTTTTTTTCTGATACTAGTGTACTGATTGGGATTTATTTCATGATTTCCTTTGAGGCACCTCTTGGATTGATATTCTTAATCTTCCTATTGAGAATTGTGCCACAGAGGTTTCTTGAGTTAAATTGACATTGATGCTTTTAGACCTTCTTGGAAATACCAGGTGAAAGTATAAGCATCTACTTGGTTCACTTTGTCTTGTTTAACCCATAGGAATCATTTTTTCTGGCTTTACCAGCATGATAGTTCCAATCACAACAGATATCTCTTTGTGTCTGCTCATAATAATTGTAAAAGTGACCTCACAGAGGCTAAATCTTTGTTTGCTGACAGAACAAGGCACCATATAGCCTCTAACATGTTTGATTCTTATGACTACTAGCTTTGTAATAATGTCTTAAATAAGAGTAAGCCTTTTATCTCTCCTCTCTTCACTCAATTTGAAGTGTTAACATCTGCTGATAAAGTAGAATGTTTTGCTCATAAATTCTCTTCCAACTCCACTCTTGCTTCATCTGGAGTATCTTTGCATGACTTTCAACTTAGAACTGCTTTATGATATGTGTATGACTTCATCTATGGTTTCTGCTATCATCTCTAAACTGGATCCCCACAAAGCATGAGTACTTGATATCTCTTCAATAGTCCTTAAGAAATGTTTTCTAGAACTGGTTCCTATTCTCTCTAAAATCTATAATAAATGCCTTGCAGCTTCTTGCTTTCCTGCTTGTTGGGAATCTTCTACTTCTGTAGTTCCAGTATAAGAACACATGTGAAACATCTGATCTTTCTATCAGCCTATTAACTATCTACCTCTTTTTGGCAAAGTACTAGCAGATCTAATCAACTCTGAATTGGTTAAGTATCTCACCTCACGGGGTCTTCTTTCCGATATGTTGCTCTAGGTCAACTGCTGATGTATTAACTATTATTGTTGAAAGAGTCTGTCAAGCTTTAGCTAATAATGATGAAACTTGTGCTGTTGCTTTAGATATCTTGAAGGTATTTGATAGAGTTTGGCATACTGGTCTTCTTTGCAGGATAAATGGTTATGGTATTTCTAGACAAATTTTTGAACTGATTCAATCATTCTTATCAAATCATGAAATGAAAGTTGTCTTGAATGACCACTCTTATAGATCTTTTTGCATTAATGCAGATGTCCCACAGAGCACTATCCTTGGACCAAAGTTGTTCCTAATTTTCATCAACGACGTTCTTGATGGCATCATTTTTCAAAATTTTATCTATGCTGATGACAGAACTATTTAATCTTGTCTTAATAGTAAGTCTGATCTATTTGATAAGTTCAAATTGACAGCTGCTCTCACAAATGATCTACAATCTGTTGCTAATTGGGGCAAGAAATGGCTTGTTAAGTTTAAGGCCTCCAAAACAAAACTGCTCTCTTTTAATCCTTCCATCACCATGGCTGATGTTAACCTCCAGGACTCCAGGAGAGTGACCCATTGACCCTTTACAGGCTAATGTTTTCCACTGGCATGAAGTGGAAAACATTATATTGAATCAACTGCTAGGTTTGTTGCCAGGAAAGTTGGTTCACTGTGTTGTGGTAGACAATTTTTCTCACCGGAATCTATTGTACACATTTATAAGTCATCCATGCATTGAATATTGCTGTCACATCTGTCTGGTGCTTAATAAATAAATATAAAGAAGAATCTGCAATTTTATTGGTCCTGACCTAACATCTTGGCATAAGTCACATTCCCACTGTCATGACATAGATTCCTTGTGCTTTTTCTATAAATACTTTGTAATTGTCCTGATGAATTTCCTCTTTGGTACCTAGACTTTATAAATTCAAGTGCAGTACTAAGATTGTCAGTTAGGTCTCTTCGTATTACAGTTGAAATGGCTGGATATTACTGTAAGTTTTATACTAACAGTTTCTTCTTTTGAACTTCTTCCTTGTGGCACTCTCTTCCGGTTTCTTGCTTTCCAGGCAACTTTGATCTTCATAAATTTTTAAATGCAATGTCAATCATTGTCTTCTCTTTTCTTAATTCCTGTTCTTTTATTATTCTCTCTCCTTAATGTTTTTTCTCATATTCTCTAACACTCATCAACCCCTTGCATCTTAGTGATTTTATTGCCTTGGTTGGGATGAAATGATTAAAAAAAATAAAGATCTTGTTTTTTGGCATATTTTTATATAGAAAATAAAAAGCAATCAACAACTACAGAATTTCTATCTGTGCACTTTTTTCCTGAAAATGTGAATTCCAGTTAAAATATATGCATATATACATGTTTATCCATCTATCTGATTGTATTTAACAATATATAAATGATATTAAATATCATGTGAAGTTAACAATTGTAACTTACAAACACACACACACATTTATATATATATATATATATATATATATATATATTCATGCTTAATCTTGCTTATTGGAATAAAATTTTAAGTTTCTACACTTTAAATAATAATGTAATATTCTATAGGTTTGGTGATGGTTATGTGTTATCCATAAGAATGCCTGGCCAGAATCCTGATATGGTTCCAGTTATGAAGTATGTTTCTGAACATTTCCCGCAAGCAGCTTTGAAAGAGAAACACTTCAATATTCTACATTATCAACTTGGTGTGAAAGAAAATTTTTTGTCCAAGATTTTCTTAAGTATGGAAAATGCTAAATCATTATTAAATATTGAAGATTATTCAGTAACACAGACAACATTGGATCAGGTATTCACTATAAATTTTTCTACTTTCTTTTTTACAAAATAATTTTATCTTAAGAAATCAAATATTGAATTTTATTTAAGGATATTATTTGGAGGTAGAAATTAATTACTATACTTTAAGACATACCCAAATACTGGCTAGAGGTGCAATCACATCTCAGTTATAGGATAAAATTACAGAAATTAAAGAAACCTAAAGCAATGCCTAAACTGTAATACAGCAAACTATGACAATTTGTAAACAAACATCTGCAGTTATAATTAAGAACAAATATAAACCCCTAGAAAATGTTAATAACTTGAAGTGGAAAACCTTAAGGTGTGACAACAATAAAAATTCATCCCTAAGGAAGAGAGACAAGAAAAAATAAAAGTGGATGACTGTTGAAATTCTTGAACTAATAAAAAAGAAACACCAGGAAATGGCACAGAAAATGTTAAGAAAAAACATTAGACAAAATTGTAAGCAAAGATGTGTGTAGAAATAGGAAAACTGTAGAATCCAAACATTACAGATATGCATAAAAAAGATTAAAAAAAAAATAGCAGGATAGAAGTAGGGTGGGATGCATGAAAATCAAGCACTTACTTGATTTTGATAGATTAGGTAGTGTAGTAACAGACAACAGAACAGGTGACACAAAAATCTGTAAGTACATGGGAATAGCAAAAGATGCTTTTGGAAACTTATGGAGAGATGGAGAAAGTGTCCTTAGAAAGAAAGAAAAGAATGCTGCACTGCTATGTAATATCTAATTTCCTATATGGCAGTGAATGTTGTACAGTCTCACCACAGACAAAGAATAGATTTGAAGTCACAGAGATGAAATTCGACAGATGAACACCACAAAGTTAAAAGGAATTGGAACTATAAGGAAACTGCTGCTAATAATCTGAAAGAGATAGCTGAAATTTCAGGTACACAATGAAGAAAGAATGCTTGGGAAATTTAACACTCAAAGGACATACTGAAGGCAAGAGAAGCAGGAAGGAACGACAAGTTTGATGAGTTCGAATGACTTGATGGCAAAACAAAGACCATAAAATCAAAAAGTTGTAGTAAAGGGAGAAAATTACTTAGAGACTGGAAGCTGTGGAGAGTTATGCTCGTCCACGTTATAAAAGGACATGACATATAAAAAAAAGAAAAGTTCAGGATAAATATCTAATGTAAATGCCAAAATAACAACACTCCTAATTAAATGTAAATATCACTGATATAAATACAAAATAATTCCTTTTTACATATTTAACTACTGAAAAGTTGAATGCTACTCTATGCTTAGCGTTATCATATCCAGTTATTATTAAAATGTATTATGAAGGGTATACACACTAATAATAATAGACAGTGATTAAAATGGTGAAAGAGTTAGCTGTATCATAAAGCATGCAAGGACATGTATTGTTTAATATATTGCTTTCATCTCTCATGGTGATTTCTGCCTTGGCTTGACATGTTAGAAAGATTGGTGACACAGACAAATAAGAAACAGCAGGAAGGCTTTCATAGCAACAATAAAAATATTTAACTCAGCAGCTATGATGGAAATGATTCTGTTATAGAAAGGAGTTATGCATACATTGAATGAAATGGGTAGTCATTAAATCTGATCAAAATTCATTTATTCCTTTTTTTTTTCTTTTTAAGTTTCTTTGATCTTTGATAAAACTAAAGTCAAAGTTTGTGCTTAAGGTTTTGGAAACAGTTCATAGTTGGTTTAATATACTGATGGAAGGCATCGAGGGGTCTCTCAGAAGATTAATGGAGTGAAATTTAGTTTTGGAGGGGTTAAAATCAACACTTTTGCTGTAGTTAACGACTTTAGGTTGTTCTGGACATTTTGACCTTGTCAGACTGATAAGCCTTACTATTGAGTCAGGAGTAAATTGCTGTGTGTGTCATCAGTGTAGATAGCAACTTGAGAGCTGATGTCATCAAAAAGGTCATTAATGAAAATTAAAAACAAAGTAGGACCAAGGCTGGAGCCCTGGGGGACACCCACATTAGTATGAAAGGATCTAGATGAGTGGCCATTCAGGATACCTTTCATTTCCCAATTTGATAGGAAAGACTAGATCAGTTCAAAAAAGTGTCCGGAGGCACTGTAACTTTTCAGCTGTAAATGGCTTTTGAGATGTTCAATGCTACAATCCAGGTTTCACTGTTTTTATCTATAGCATAATAGACTTTTTCCATAATTATTGTCAGTTCATCAGCAGTTGACCTGGAGAAACAAAAGCCATATTGCTTGTCTAAGAAAAGTCCCTGTGATGAGAGATGATGAAACAGTTCATCATTGCTTAGGGCTTCCAGATTTTCTCAAAAAGAGATAGAAGTCTAATAGGTCAATAGTTGGAAGGGTTGGACAGCTCACCAGAGGTCTTAAAAACTTGAACAGCAGATGATGACTTCTAGCAGGCAGGAAAGCATGAAGCAGTAAGACATTCAGTATACAGTTTAGAGAGAACGGCAGCTAGTTTGGGAGCACATTTCTTAATTATTGTTACAGGGATACCATTGGATCCAGATGCTTTTGGGGATCTAGGTTAGAGATGATAGCAGAAACCATAGAAGGGGTTACATGCATATCACCCAACAGAGCCTCAGTTCTGAGAGGGAATTTAAGCAGAGATATTCGAGATGAGTTAAGAATAGAGATTGAGAATTTAGAGATTAGAATTTATGGGCATAGCCTTCAGCTTGGATTCGCAAAATTCAAACAATTTTGAAAGCAATATTCAATTTATTTTAAGCATCATAAGCATGAATTTAGACAATTGTTAATGTATTATTTTTAGGTGTTCATAAATTTTGCAAATAATCAAACCGACTTATTGGATACAGAAGTTGATGTTCCTGCAGAATTAACTTATGCTACTCAGAAATTTGAACACTCACAACAAGGTAAGTGATTTATGATTGAATTTTTTCTGTATTTATTTGTTTCAGACAATATACATTAACTGTAATTTCAACTGTTAATATAGAAAGCCTGTTGCATTTTAGCTGATAATTTTACTGATTGAAAGAACAAATTATATATGTAAAAGAAATTATATATGTATTAATATTTAGTTTATAATAAATTATATTGACTAAAATAATGAATAATTTAAAAGAAATAATTATTTTTTTGTATTTGTTGTTTATAATATGTATTATATGTAGAGAAAAAAATTTAAATCTCTAATAAAAATAAAGACAAATTCACAAATATTTAAGTCATTTAATTATTTGTTTAATTGGATTGAGCAGAAGTGATATTTCTCTTGCCATTTTTTTAGACTTACATTTTGTTAATATGGCCACATGATATTTTTTTTTAAAGGAGATCATTGCTGCTGACTCCTAAAAAGCAATTAGGAGAATGGATTTGGAAAATGACAAAACTATTGACAAGTATTTAATTATTTTCAGTTTGGTTATGCTGGACATGACTTGTAGCTTGGAAATTCTTTAACCCACTCTGTGTTGTAATTTAACAAACAATGAGTGTTTGTATTTTATCTATATTTTCTGTTTGCTTCTAGATATAAGAACAATCAAAGATTTTTTTTCATTTCTAAAGGATTTTATATGAATCATTCTAGTATATTTTTTTTCAATTTTTTGTGTATTCTTTTTAGAAACTTTTGCATTATCTATGAAATACACAAAGGATTGATTTATAGTTTAACTAGCAATTTGCATGCCACGTTGCTTTATATTAATTTGGAATGTCAGTATGTTTTTTTAATGTTTTAATATTACTTTAAAGGAATTGTGTTTAAAATTATTTTATGTTAAGATTATAAAACTGTTATATTTTTAATAATTTGGATCTTTTGTTCACAGATTATGTTATTGACAATCCTTTTTTTTTATAAATTATTGTTTTTTTTTTTTAATCAAAGACACCAAAAAAAAGCAAAACAAAAATGAGTCAGATAATGATAGGTAAAAGTATTTACACATGCATCACACTTTGTTTATTTCCTGGAACTAACAAATTGGTGCCAAACATTGAAAGGTCATGTTAGAAACCATAAAGTAGTAGCAAATGTATGTGAAATATGGGAAACATCAATGCAATTCAATTTTAGCTTTTATTTCAACTACCCCTCTTTATATAATTACTTTCTGAAGAGAATAGTTAATGGGAAAATAATAATTAAAGATTTTTCTTTATTTTTTTTTTTCAAAATAAACCCTTAATAATGTTAAATTTATTCAGATTAAATTTGCTAACTGGCTTCAAATATCTGCAATATTATCATTTGAATTTACATAATGCAAATGCATATTGCCATTTTAAATCTGATATTTTACATCAATGTAATTTTTATTTCTGATGATGTATCAGATTCTTTGCTAATTCTAGTGATTCTTTGTTATCAAAACACACACACACATATATATATTATTGTTGCCTAAGTCATATATTCTTCTTCACATGTTGACAAGGAAATAGGTATTTGCTTCTTTGATTTCCATAAAATCAATGGACCATCACTATTTAATTGGTAACAGAATCTAGAGATACTTTTATCATCTGGATTTGCCCAATCTTAATCACAAAATCAAATAAAATTGATTTTTTTTCCTAAACTCTTAACTCTGAAGCTGTAATATAATGTATCCTTAATATATTTTAAGTCAAATTTACTTAAACTTAAGTAGGTTTTGCTAACTTGGTAACAACATAGCATAAATCAGGTCTAGTACAAGTTAATGCATAGATTAAGCTACTTACAATCCATCTGTATAATTTGCCCTCTGAAATTGCTTTTGAATCTGCAGTATTACATTTATTAAAAGTTGGATGACATGGTGTTGATTTTAGGTTACTGCCATTAAATTCAAATCTGTTTAGTAATCTTTTTCAAATGTTTAGATCCATTTCACACCTCAGCAAAAACCAAACTCAGTACCTAAAAAATATAATAATTGACCTAAGTGTCTCTTCTTAAAGAGTAATCTATCTTAAAAAATTATTATTTATATTTTCTAGGTTTGACATAGCAATAATTAAATCATTTACTTTAGAGACTACAATTATACTTCAAATATTTGGAATTTTTGTGTACACGCAATAATCATTTAATGATTGTTCAAAGTCTCAGTCTGATAGACATTTATAGAGCAAATTGTTTCAGTCCCTTTTACTTTGTTTTAATCTATAAAAATTTCTTTAGTTTACAAACAAGATTTTCACCTTCTTCATTTGTTCATATAAAACCTTTAGGTTGTTCAACATATATTTTCGCAATTGATCTCAGTGTTGAGATAGGCTGTGTTTTAAAATCCATCTGTAGTACAATTTATCCTGTGCAACTATTTGCATTAACATTCTTATTGATATAATTTTAGATGTCTCTTGGTAATCTATATTTTCAATTTAGGAATATTCTTTTTTTATACCTCTAACTTTGAAGTGTTCATTATTGTTGGGACCTAATTTCACCACATAAACCCATCAACTGTATGCCCTGTTTTTAAGAATGAAGGTGGGCATCTTAAATTATCAGCTAATTAACTTCCTTAGTGCCATCAGCAAATTCTTTGAATCTTTAATCAACAAGAAGGTTGTTTAACAAGCTTCTGATAACCAGTATGGATTTTGCCCTGCTAGATCCACAGCTGATGTTTTAATTGTCATTATCCACAGAGTCAGCAAGGCACTAGACAATAAATTCATCATGTGGACTATTGCCCTAGATATTTCAAAGACCTTTGACAAGGTGTGGCATCAGAGGCTACTGCATAAACACTCCAGTTATGGAATTTCTGGAAGGGCTCTCTCAATTATCAAGTCCTTCCTGAAAGTCATTATTAATGGCCATTCATTGGAAGCCCATGAGATCTCGATACTGGTGTTCCCCAAGGGTTCTCTTCTCAGTCTTATCCTCTTTTTGCTTTATATTAATGTATCTCTATCTATAAAAGGCAGGAAGAGTGTGTGTGTGTGTGTGTGTGTGTGTGTGTGTGTAACGAATGCACGGCCGCAAATTTCGATGGATTTGCACCAAAATTTACATGCACATGCTCCAAGTTAGCAGAAAGGCCAAGACCAACTTTGCATTTCCCAACTCGCATCAATAGTGGAAATAATTGATTTTTTCATGCTTCTACAACAGTTTTCATGTAGTTTGTGGCCATTTTCTACTGGCCAGAGTGAGAGCCTATAGCTGGCTGCGACAAATAGGCAGGAAGATTCTATTGGCCAGCGTGATAGCCAACAGCTGACTGACACAAATGTTAACTAGCATGCTAGCATGCTAAAAAAATCGATAGCTGCATTCGTCACAAGTGTGAAAAATTTAAATCTGCATGGCACTTTACTCCAATTGGCCCATTCGCTAGCTTAACCTCAACGTTGATTCTGATTCTGCAGAACTGGGTTGGGTGTGAAAAAGTATTTGTTGTTAACATTCTTTTTTCATTCAGTTTTTCCAGTTACGAGTCCTTTTTTAAAGCTGATCGTTTTGTGTTCATTTTGTTTAGTTCATTTTTTATAAAAGATTTAATGTTTAGTATAGAGCTTAGAAAAAATTTGCAGTGTGAGATAGGCAAGAAGTAAGGCATGTAGCAACATCAGCACAGCAAAGGGCACTCCTTTAAAGGCAAGGAAGGGCAAAAATATTTTAAGTCAAGTGATAGTGATTACTGTATGAGTCGTATGATTTTTGAATCAAGCATGGGCAACGCCGGGCCATGCTGCTAGTATTATATATTATCTTTATATTGATATCTGATATGCAGATGATACAACAATTTATAGGTGCACCTCCAAAACTCTGAATGGCCAGAAACTGGTAGCTGATCTCTCCTCTGACATCGCCCAGGGGACTGACTTGTAAAATTCAATATGGCCTAAACCAAACTCGTAATGTTCCACAATTATCAAGCAGATCCTGAACTTTCACTTATCAAGCTGGATTGGGTCTTCTCTCTTAAGGAGGCTCCTTATCTTTAACATCTATTGGTATTCAAGCTCTCTCCACAGACCCCTCAAGTAGAACTCATATATCTGAAAATTGATTGGTTCATTGGACCACTCTAGTAAGTATCTGACTCCCCCTACTATACTCTATCAGCTACATCAGAACAAAAATGGAGTATTGATGCCATATGTAGGCTGGACTTTCATAGCCCTCTCTTGTCTGTCTTAATAGAGTTCAAAAGTGTCAACATGGACTTGTGCATGATGAATTATTTTCCACACTACAACCCCCTCTTCTCACAAATGGAATATCACAAGCCTCTCACTGCTCTATTGCTATTTCCATGGTATTTCTGAGCTATATTCCTTAGTCCCACCAACTATGACCTTTACAACTGGGACCTGCCATGCTATGTGAATCATTTCCATTCTCTTCATGTTCCATTACTAAGTAGGTTCCACTCAGACAGCTTCTTCCCAAGAACTACTGCTTTGTGGAACAGACTCTCAGCATGATGTTTCCCCAATCACTACAAGTTTAGGCTTAACTGTTATCGTTTCTTTACGTCTAGTGTTAACTGTTATCTTTTCTGCATATCCCCATAAACTCTGCTTCTTATGCTCCTAAAACACCACACATTAACCTTCTACCTTGAGTAAGTTGTAAATTCATATCTTTCATTTTCTTTAAGTGCTCTTATTTTATTACTTATTGTTGCTTCCTTTTTATTTGTTTCAGTAGATGTTGTTGCTTCTTCATATGTTTTAAGAATGTTTCTCATTCTGTAGCAATAATCTATAGTACAGTTTGCTATGTGCAAATTATTAGGATTGATATAATCTTCTAAGTATTTTTGGTTTCTTGGTTTTCCTCTGTGGATATCTTTCAATTTTGTTTTTGTTTGAATTTGATGTTTCATGTTTTCTAGGTTAAGCAGAATCCTCTTTATTTTCTTACTGGCTTGGCTCTTTAAATAATCCA